AACAAAGGTCTCCCCCTTCAGCTCCAGGGTGATGGGGTTAAGGAATGATAGTATTAGCCCTTTACCCATTTCACCACAAGAGACCTGGGAAGAAGCAATGCTCAACCAAACATGGACTCAAAGCACAGCCTAGAGAGTTGCCCCTCTTCATTCATTCAGCCATCGTTCTACATTACAGTGGCGTCAAACAAATAGAAGTTGCGATTAGTCTTAGAAGTTCTGACTTTGCCTGCTGCCCTGCAGTCACGCGATCTGGGTGCTTGGCAACCATCGCATTTACAACAAACCCACCTCTACATTTTACCCACCTTGGAAGGATGGAAGGCTGAGTCAACCTTGAGCTGGTGAGATTCGAACTGCCAAATTACAGGCAGTCGGCAGTCAGCAGAAGTAGCCTGCAGTACTGCATTCTAACCACTGCGCCACCCCGGCTCTTTTAATTGCCCTACATATTTATTGTGGCCTAATACTACAGTTTCCTTTTCAAGCTCTTATTCTCCTTGTGCTCCTGCTTTGAAAAGTAGGTGTGTTCATTGGTTTGTCATGGCTTCTAATGCAAAACATGAAGAACAGGCACAATACATTTAAAACTTAATTGTGTACAATGAGTAATTAAAGGCACATTGTTGGGTTGTCTGCTTTTCAAACAAAAGGTTTACATAAGGACACTCATGAAACTTTGGTTCTGTGGAAGACATCGTCCATAACAGGACTAAGTTGCATCAATTGGAATCTGTTCAGTTTTTATTGGAAACAAATAGCAAAGCACATTGTAAGAGCAACACTGCATTTTTTAACGTTCTGTGATGTACTATCAAAATGTGACATCACATTTTACAAGTACATCGCTTAGCAACAGAAACTCCAGTCCCATTGGCTGGTGCAACCTGAGGACTCGGTTACGCTGACGGTTCTAACCGTAATGATATCAGAAACAGAATGACAGAGTTAAAACACTAGTGCAGAAAAGAGAATTCAAACAGAGCTTATTGCGCTGTTGAGCTGTTTCAAAAATCACAGGTCTTCCACCTACTTTGGACAGTGATGGGCTTCGGGATCATCTACCCTGTCCTTGTTCTTTAGCTGTTGGCTTTGCTACCCGTTCGGGGCAAGAAGATTTAAGGGATGGCTTTGTCTTGCAACCCTCCATCGTTCTTGCTTATCTTCCTGCAGAAGTGGGGGAGAAAGGAGGTCAGCTGTCCATGGGCAGAAGCAACGGCTGGCCACCGCCTGGGCCCTGATCCGTGACCCCAAAGTTTTGGTGCTGGGTGAAGCTGGATGAAGCCACGAGTGCCCTGGACCCCGACAGCAAAGACTGGGGGGGGGGGGCGACGACAGAGGGGTCCCGGACTGGATTATATCAGGAGCTCTGGAGATATTAATCTGGATATTTCTGAGGTGACAGAGCAGGAAAACTGGGTTCATTCAACTGGAAGTGGCATAATTTCTTCCAAGTGTATGTCATTGATAAATAGACTTTAAAATCTGGTGCCATCCCCTGATGTGATAAACTTAAGAGTTCTTAAATTATAAACTTTTTTTATCAGTCTGTTTATTATCAGGGTTTATTATGATCTGCCTCTCAGTTCCTCAGAGGGTTTCTGGCTTATAAACAATGAAAATTACATTTAATAACACCACTCTAAGGCCAAATAATATGAGTCTAAGAGAACATTGTGCCTATTTACGTATTTTTTTAATTACATATTTTTCTTTCTTACATTATTTTCATTGCGATCTCTGGAACTTAAAATATATTACCCACTTTCTTTCTTTAGCCTCTGCTAACATCGTCAGAGTGTAAAAACTACCATTGAAGAGATATTTGCCTTTATACATCATTGATAAGTGGAAAGAGATTGGTACTAGGAAGGAAAAGAATAATAATAATAATACAGTCTTAGTAGATAATTTGACAGTGTTGTGGGGATTCTTTGTTTAGCAGAGTGATAGCATTCGGGGGGGAAACTGTCCTTGTGTCTAGTTGTTCTGGTGCCATATAGCATCGTTTTGAGGGTAGAAGTTGAAACAATTTATGTCCTGAGTGTGAGGGATGTGTAGATATTTTCACAGCCCTCTTTTTGACTCTTGCAGTGTACAAGTCCTCAATGGAAAGCAGGTTGGTAGCAATTGTTTTTTCTACAGTTTTAAATATCTGTTGAATTCTTACCCTAACCCTTCCCTTCTCGTTTCTTTCTCCTGCCTCGTTCCTTTTCAAGAAAGTGTGAGGTTTCAGGATCAGTCACTAATCACTTTTTTCAGTGTTGTCTTAACTTCAATTGCTAAACAAATGTTTGCAATTGAGGGCTACCATATTTGGTCTATTTTACTGCCATGAATGTAGGGACAGCTTTTATTGTTTGCAAGATCGCAAAATACTTGAGGCCAAATTTGTCTGCAGAACTATTGGTTCTACTGCAGAACTGGAGGAACACCTTATGGTGGAAACTGGAGGCAGCTTCTCTCTGGTGCTTCTAAGGAATCCACCCAGAATCTCTTCTGGATCACTGCTTCCTTTTCCCCATCCAGCAGTCTGTGAAGAGTGGAGGCCGGACGGTGCTGGTGATTGCTCACCAGATGCAGACGGTGGAGAACGCAGACAAGATTGTGGTGCTGGAAGGAGGGGAGGTTGTGGAGAAGGGGACTCACACGGAGCTGATGGGCCGGAGAGGCCCCTACTACAGACTGATGGAAAGGACCCAGCCGGAGGGACTTCTGGAGTTGCAAGGGGGAGCTCAGCCATAGGATCCACTGCTTTTGTAGAGGCCAAATGAACGATCGGCTGGGGAGATGTTTCCAAGCCACTGTCTTCTTTAGTAAAGGCACCAATGAATGCACCAATTTTTCCTTTGTTCAAATTTGGCCTGTGAGAACTTTTTACAGAACCTCCCCTTTTACTACAGGCTTTAATATTGGTCTCCGGCGCAGCTTCAATTCCTCTTTGTTTTGTTAACTAAAGTACCTCTGTGATCCCTTCTAGTGCTTGTAAATCTGTATTTGGATGGAAGTCCCACGGATGGGTCTCCTTTAGCAGAGTTAGAGAATGGCCACAAAATGGTTGCACCCTTCAAATTTCTCCTACTCAAGTGATATTTCTGTGGAAAACAGGAAAATGGCTTTTAGTTCAATGGAAAAAGGCAGTGAAAAAAATTAATTGTATGTTTCTATATTTTTATTAATAAATTGCAACAGTAAAAGATTGAAGGAATATATTTGTCTCTTTCCTATTCTTTGCTGCACTTCTTCAAAATAAGCCTCTTCTTGTTTTGAGTTTCTCTTGAAGGGAACTTTTCCCTTCCTCCATTTTGCACGCTTTCTATAGCTCCCATGGCAATTGTTCAGAATTAACAGAATAAGAGAGTTGGAAGGGAACCTGGAGGTCTTCTAGTCCACCCCCTGCTTAAGCAGGAGGCCCCTATAGCAATGATGGGGAACTTTTTAGAAACTGAGAGCCCAAACTGCAACCCAAAACCCACTTATTGATTGCAAAGTGCCAACAGGGCAATTTGACCTGAATACTGAGGTTTTACTTCCTAAAATAATGATAAACAAGACAGAGTTCAGCTGTTTTAAGAAAAACATAAATGCACTTTTATGTCCCTTCATTTTCCCCCCTGCTTTTGAAATATTACATTTAACAACAATAAAAACAAAAACTTTGGTAATATCAATTATCTTTCCCTCTTTCCCCCCTCTCTATTTCTCTTTCTCTCCCTCTTTCTCCTTTTCTCCCTCCCTTTCCTCCCTCTCTCTTTCCCCTCTCTTTCTCTCTGTCCCTCTGTCTTCCCCCTCTCTCTCCCCCTCCCTTTCTCTCTCCCCCTCTCTTTCACTCCCTTTCTTTCTTCTCCCCTTTGTCTTTCCCTCCCTCTCTCTTTCTGTCTCTCTTCCTCTCCATCTCTTTCCCTCCCTTCCTCTCTCTGTCTGTTTTTCTTTCTGTCCATTCTCTTTTTCCCTCCCCCTCTTTCCCTCTGATGAAATAAACGTCCATCTGGGTTCGGCTCCAAGTGGGGAAAAAGACACTGGAAACATGGAGGCTGCTTGGAAAGATGGTTTAATGGAGGACAGGACCACGTGGCTGAACAGTCCTGAACAGAAANAGGGGTGGGATTTAACTTCCTACAATTGGCCAGTTGAATAGCGATAGAAGCTGGAAGGCAATAAAGCGATTCAATCTTGACAAAGTCATTAAATGTGTGTGTGGGGGGTGTTCCCAGGAAAGAGGCAATGAAGACTTTCGCACAATTATTATTTTTTCTTTAGTTGTCTGCTTATAATTTTCTGATTCTTGAACCGCAATCCTTAAAGTCATCAAGGAAGGACATGAGTAAGGCTCTACCATGAACCCACTGGGATATTATTTCCTTTGGACTTTAGATCAGGCCAGGGGTGGGTTCCTGCCAGTTCTGACCTCTTCTATAGAAGAGGTTCCACAAATCTACAGGGCCATTTAGAACCGGTTCCAGCTCCCTCCCCCACCCTCCGCCCGTCCGCACATCATCAAGAGGAAGAGCGAGAGGAGGAATTCTGGGAATTGAAGTCCACAAGTCTTAAAGCTGCCTGAGTTTGTTTGCTCATATCCCCCCTTTATCCTTTTCATAAAGAACTCAGGGCTGAGGACATAAATAACGCTCTTTCCTTCGCCTGTTTTCCTCACAACAACCCTGTGGAGACACCATGACTGGCCCAAAATCACACAGCTGACTCTGGTTCCTGAGGCGGGACTTGAACTCACTGCCTCCTGCTTTCTAGCCCGGTACAGGGAGTCCTCTACTTACGACCAGGATTAAGCCCAACATTTCTGCTGTTAAGTGAAACATTTGTCCACAACTTTCTTGCCACGGTTGTTAAATGAATCACTCAAATTGTTAGTAACACGGTTGCTAAGTGAAACTGGCTTCCCCATTGACTTTGCTTGTCAAAAGGACACAGGAGGGGATCATGGGACTCCAGGACACTGAAACAGTCCTAAGTATGAACCAGTTGCCAAGTCGCCAAAGGTTGGTCACACGACCACAGGAATGCTGCAACGGTCACAAGTGTGGGAAATGGTCATCAGTCCCTTTTTTTGAATCCTGTTGTAACTTCGAATGGTCTCTAAATGAACGGTTGTAAGTCGAGGATTCCCTGTAGACGAAACTGAATGAATTTGTGGCTGACTGGTTTATCCTTGGTGCTCATTTTTCTTTCCTGCATTATATTTATTGTCTTTTGTTCTTGTATTGATATTTTTATTGTGTCGGCTGATCAGAGCCGCTTATGTGAGCTGGATGGTCATATATTCTAATTAATAAATACATTTCTAAACCTTTTGAATCTGTAGAAGAGGCTGAAATATACACTGAATTCTTGCAAAGTGTTTCCAAGTTTTCCTTTTAAGCTTCCAAAGGTGGCTAGTCCTGAGGGAGGGGGAGAACAGGCTCAGGGGGGAAATGCTACCAGTTCAGACCAGTTTGCCTGAACTGGGAGTAAAAAAAGGCTCTTGGGTCGGGCGAACTGGTATTTCCCAGGATCAGCTGTGACACACGATTTCTATTGGCTAGAAAGCAGCTAATCTAAATCGTGTGGCACAGCGGATTCCCCCCCCCTCACTGTTCTACTTACCTTTGCAGGCGCGCTCGGTAACAGGCTCCGCCCACCCAGACGCCACCATATCTGTTTTGGACACTGGGCATCCGCAGAAGGTTCTGCGCACGCTCACATTTGCCAACCAGTAGGGAAGGTAAGTAGATTTCACCCTGGAGAGACCCCCACCCTTTTCATTCCTCCGTGCCCCCAAAGCAACCATTGTAATATGGGGGACACCTTCCCCATCAATCAGGGGTCTCCCCACTCTTGGGCCACTGCATCATCTTGGGCAGCCCAGAGAGGATCTCCCAGAAGCAGGAGAAGCTGCCCTTCTGCAAGGGGACCAGGANAACAGAAGAACAGAGTTGGAAGGGAACCTGGAGGTCTTCTAGTCCACCCCTTGCTCAAGCAGGAGGCCCTATAGCAGTGATGGGGAACTTTATAGAAACAGAGAGCCCAAACTGCAACCCAAAACCCACTTATTCATCCCAAAGTGCCAACACGGCAATTTTACCTGAATACGGAGGTTTTTACTACCTAAAATAATGATAAAACAAGGCAGAGTTCATGATAACATGAACATGAAAAACATGATAAATGCACTTTTATGCCCCTTCATTATTTCTGCTTTTGAAATATTACATTTAACAACAATAAACCTTTTATATCAACTTTTTTTCTTTCTCTCTCTTTCCCCCCTCTGTTTCTTTCCCTCCTTCTTTTCCCCCTTTTTCTCCCTCTCTCTCTTTCCTCCCTCTTTCTTTCTCTCTTTCTCTCTCTCTCTTTCCCCCTCTCTATTTCTTTCCCTCCCTTTTTCCCCCTTTCTCTCCCTCTCTTTCCTTCCTGTCTCTCTCTTTCACTGTCCCTCTGTCTTTCCCCCCTCTTCCCCTCCCTTTCTGTCTTTCTCTCCCCCCTCTCTCTTCCCCCTCTTCCCCTCCCTCTTTCTGTCTTTCCCCTTCTCTTTCCCTCCCTCTCTTCCCTTTCTCTTTCCCTCCCTTTTTGTCTCTCTCTTCCCCTCCCTTCTTCTCTGCCTGTTTCTTTCTCTTTCCTTCCCCCTCCCTCTTCCCCTCCCTCCCTCTCTTTCCCTCTCTATCTCTTTCTGTCTTTTTTCTCTCTCGTTGAACCGGTAGGATCCCATCCCTGGGTATAGGTAATCTCACTTAACAACCAAAATTGGAACTTGCAACTCTGTTTTTAAACAAAGCAGTCTGTCAACAGTCCCACTAGCGAACCCCCCCAAAAAGGAACTCTCAGGGTCGTTGAATCCCCCAAAGTGAAACTTTATTGAGTTCACCATCTGGGAACTGAAGAAGCAAAACCAGCTCTGGTTTTCCCTTGCTCAATTAAACCATTCCCTTCTCCCAGCCCTCAGGTGTTCACGTTGTCCAATTGTAAAGCTTTTGTTATGGGAAAAGTCCACTTCCCCAGCAAACACCTGCAGTAGTGACCTTGGCGTTTTGCAAGTTCTCACCCTCCGAGGAAGCCTCTTGGCAACACAATGAAAGGCGAGAGGGGTGGAATGTGTAGGGAGGAAACTTTGAATGGTCACTAAATGAACTGTTGTAAGTCGAGGACTCCCTGTAGACGAAACTGAATGAATTTGTGGCTGCCTGATTTAATCATGGTGCTCATTTTTCTTTCGTGCATTATATTTATTGTCTTTTCTTCTTGTATTGATGTTTTTATTGTGTTGGCTGACCAGAGCCGCTTATGTGAGCTGGACGGTCATATATTCTAATTAATAAATACATTTCTAAACGTTTTGAATCCATAGAAGAGGCTGAAATATGCACTGAATTCTTGCAAAATGTTTCCAAGTTTTCCTTTTAAGCTTCCAAAGGTGGCTAGTCCTGAGGGAGGGGGAGGACAGGCTCAGGGGGAAAATGCTACCAGTTCAGACCGGTTCGCCTGAACTGGGAGTAAAAAAAGG